CTGACACTATTTATTTTTCACATAGTTTATATTATTGAATTTTTTCTTCTCAACGACGTCGTGTTCGCGCATTATAATTCTCAATAGCGCAGTCCGAGGGTATGGGTAGGCGTGTGGGTGTGGAGTGTGGATATTATGTTAAGCCACACCCACACCCACCCTTTTTCCAATGTAATCAACGTTTCTGAAGATAGCTACAAAATAATATTTAACCTATAAATAACATTTATGCATCCTACCTTACCTGTTCTTTCTATTATTGTCCTATTGGATTTATTGTTTTGCTATTCTTTATTAGAGTAATAATTTATTACTTGTTACTATTAAATCCTTTTATTACTTTTGAAATGTTTATTATTTATGACGAACTACTCTATATTTCACCAATACGAACCAATATAAACCTAGATCCCATCAAAACGATAAAAACATAGCAAATGATGATAAAAAGTGATTAGTAATAAAGTAATAATAATTATTACCAATTACCGAGGCAACAATAACAATCATACAGTCTCCCCCGGACAAAAAAAACGGCCTTTTTCTATTAGCTCGTTCTTCTCTATAGTTCAATGCTATATCTTTAATTTTTTATATTCTCTTTCTCGTAGAGAAGAGTCTTACAAACATAAATTGTCTGCTTGCTTGATTGCTTGCTTGTATGTCCGCAGAGAGTCAAAAAAACATAAGGGTTGACCGAAGGGTAATCGGGATCGAGGAATTCAAATCTGATGTTAGTTTTAATTAATTAATTAATTATTATTAACTAATTATTAACTGATCATTAATTATTAATATTATCCATAAAACTTGACCAAAGGATAATCGGGGTCGAGGAATTCAAATCTGATGTCAGTTTTAATTAATTAACCCTAGTACTACCAGCCTATTTTAAGCACTATACTGACAAAATACCTTTTCATAGAGTGATTCTTTTTACTCTTGCATTAATGTTCTGAGCAGATGGAGGATGGCAAGTCCTTCCTGCCCCCAATAACCAGAAATTTTATATTTTTCGGTCGAAAGCTGTAAAAATTTTTAAAAAACCGGAAAAATTATAAAAATGATATTCTTTTTTTTATTTGGCACAGTTAGCACAATCAATGATTTTTACAGAATGTTCATTACAAACAAATTTGGAACAACGAGAACATTGAGTTGAAGTTTTTTTATCCTTTGGATCTTCACAAATCGAACATCGTTTTCGTTTTTTTGATTGTGTAGAATTTCCATTTGGTTCTGGTAGATTTTTCACCATAGGATAACCGACAATAGCTAATGCGTGTTCAATATCTTTATTCAGAAATTTCGACGTTGTTGATCGAAAATCCAGAAGATCCGATACTAAACTTAATCCTAATTCTTCCAGGAATAATCGACGTTGATATTTTTTATTTTCATTCCATTGAGGATTTTTCGTCTTCCATATGACCAGAGCATTTATAGCAGCAATATCTATCATTCCAAAAAAGATACAAAGTGGCCATCGCTTTGTACCTCTTTTCACCTACAGAAAATAAAATGTAGAAATATAAAAAAGAAACCTTCTTTTACCGTATATTTATGACACATTTAATCGACAGTATCGACAGCTCCTTTTGTTTTATTATAGTCCAAAATAATAATTGGCTTTCCAGTTTTTATATCCACTTGATTATCATGATGTTTTGAGGAAAGTACTAATACAGCTTTATTTTGTTTGGGTACAAATGAAACTAAAGTTAGATCATCTTGAAAACCAAATAGTGAAGAACCAATCTCACGATTTTTATTTGACTGGAATTCCATAGGTATTTCTGGTTTATTTTTTCGTAATGTTCCTATAAGAGTCAGGTTCCTCATTTGAAGTTCTTTGGCTAATTGAACACTTGTAAAAAAGTTATCAATTGTAACATTTCTATTTGAACCATATAGTGGTTTCAGCAATTCTAAAACAACACTGGCACCTATTTTTGTTTGTCTTTCTTGATCTGGTTGTCGTCCAAGGTAAGGAAATGCATTGAATACATAATATGTTTGTACATCAACACATAACCAAAACTTCAATCCATATTTATCAGGTTTTTTCGGGATAAATTGACGAAACGGACATTTTCCTCTAAAAGGTAATAGCTGTTCATCAATCGTAACATAAGGTCCTGGTACATAACATGTTTTTATATTGTCTTCGAAATCTGACCAGATTTCACGGATTGCTGCAAATTTATCGGTTTTTTTCCTTTCTTCTCTTGTTGTTTTATCATCGAATCTTAAACAGGAGATAATTTTTTCAAAACGACTTCTTCCCATAGTAGCTTTGAATATTGGAGACTCCAACGGACTTCTTTTCCATAATGATTTAATGTTTTTTTTCGATTTTTCTAATAAACCAGCAAGTAATAAAAGTCCAATAAAAGCTTTTAGTTCCATCATTGTTATATCTTCTGATTTTTCATTGGAAGCGATATTTCGAGTACTTTCCATATTAGAATAAATCAAAATTTTTTGTATAATTTTTTCCGATATAAAACAAATAAATGCATCTTGAATAGATGATACATCTTCCGTGAGTTTGGTAGGTCCAGCCTTTTCACTTGTATCATTTGAAGACTTTGCTTTCTTTGAAGGATACGGAATTGAAGACCAGGTGATTCCGGATTTGGAACTATATAAACTTTTTGGAGTAGAATCGTCGTCTAATTTAAGATTTTCTAAATCAATTTCATCATCTTCTTCTGATGTTTGACTTTCAGCGTCTTGCGTTTCCGAAGCACTTCCTTGGTCATAAGACTCTTCATCATCACTTTCATCTTCAATCCAACTGTTCATAATTGTTTTATAATATTCTGAACAGTTTATTCAGATTGTATATGAAAAAGAAATTTCAATCTATCAAAGAGATGTAAATAAAGATGCACTAGATGAACTACTATCAGCTAAAGAAAATAAATTGGTATATAAAGTTGAGTATGAAAAAAAAAGATCAATAAATAAGAACTTCAAAAGAAAAAAAAAGAGAGGCAAGTCATCCATAATTGAATGAATCATCTACCATCTTAATTGGATAGCTGGTAACCACTTTAAAAGATTGAATTTTAATGGTTAGAATAGTAAATGAGTCATTGAAAATTTAACTTGTTCTCCTTTCTTCTTGTATGAGTATTGCCTATTGAAGACATGATATCGTATCGAAGACTTCTAATGATATAAAAAGCAAATACTTCTTTTTAGATTCGACAACACATTAATTTGTAAGAGATACTAGTAGAGGGAGCGTGACCCATCATCTTCCTGAATATCGGTTGCTTCCAAAAACCAGGATATAACAGAATATTTTAAGTGTATTTTCACATTTTTACGTATGGGTCAAAAATGACCCAGGCTGGTAGTACTAGGGTTAACGAGAAAAGAATTAATAAGTTCATTTATGTTCGATAAAATAATTGATTTTTTAAGACCATGGACTCATGTAATGAAACGTACTCAATCATCGCGAGTATCATCAATACATACGATAGCACCAAGTATACTTGTAATAAATTCCTCATTAGAAATAAGGCCAAATGATTATAAATAAGAAAAAGGTTTATGATTTCAATTTTTCTTTATGTACTTTGCCTAAATAATTTTTTTCACAGGCATCGGTTTATTTCTGTCAACGAGCAAGACAAGTAATCCAAGAAATGATTTCTTTCGATACCATACATCTCATTGGAACTTTCTTCA